TAATAAAATAGTGGAATATATCCAAGTGCATTAACTTAAGTACTGTGCTAACATATAGTCTATATACACATGTTAGGCACTTGTATACTTTCACTTTATTTAATTGTGCTTCAGAGAGAAATATTGTGCTGCATATTCAATCACATTCATCAGTTTCGCCAATAAAATAAAAATAGGATGGATTATCATCTGGTTTTAAAAGTTCATTTTGTTTTGAAAAAATAAACTAAAAAGGAAGTTACCTTGCACATAGTTGTAATAATAGCCAAAACAATAAAATATAAAATAAAAAGCATTTTTTTGCATTTTGAATATGTATTTATTTTTTACTTTTGATGCTTTAAGTAGCCTATATTTTGATTATATTACATTGTAAATAGATGTTCAATGCAGTTTTGGGCATGGATTTAGCCTGGTTAACTTTTTCTCGTATTTTTCCTTGGATGTATGTGGCTTTCAGAGTCATACAGACTATTTCTGTGTTCAGGAAGAGCCCGGATATTAGCCCGAGTGTGTTCCCAATCAGTCACAGACAGCTCATTTTCACAGCTCTTATTTTCAAACAGCTTCCGGAAATGACACTGGACAGTGTGAATATGGACCACAGCACGCGGTGTGACATGACTAATGACAATAGTGAACCTGGAGAGGAAGTGACACGTGACTGTCTGTACAGTGGACATATTGACAGAAATCCCCCCATCACAGAAACGAATATATAGTAATGATGTGCATAAACAGCGTGTAATCATTAAGTCACTTTTTTAGATCGAGGAGATGAACATCGTTATTCGGGGTTCAAGTTTTCAGACGTGACACTCCAAATCACAAAAAATCAATTCAAGATTTCCTGTAATTGCTGCCATATTTTCTATCCATCCTGTTGCTCTCTAAAAGCTGCCATTGACTGTCAGTGTTTGATTATTCGAACAACTGGAAACCTCATGACAATCATCACATTGTATGGCGAAGACTGAAGTAATGTTCTCTTTAGCTCCGCAGACAGAGCTGCACATCCACACTGCAGACTGAATGTAACACAGCAGCAATAGTCAGAATAGTAGCCCATCAGTTTTAGGTTACAGACGTAAAAGCAATGTAGCCTACTGGCTAAAATTATAATGATAACAATGTGTTAATAGTATATAATAGTGTGTTATTTGGGTAGGATTTCCCTTGTTGCGAACAAATATATAGCCGTGGGCTATTTTTTCCAAGGCCAAATATAACATAACACCTTTGTGCTAACTACCGGATTTTGTTTATGTCAGTAATTAAACAAAAAACTAAAGTATGAAAGTAACATTTGAGCATTTGGGGGGGGGGGGGGGGGGGGGGGAATAAATCACAAGGCAAAGTGTCGCTGCTGTGTTTAGTATAGAGACTATTCATAACATATGAGTCCATCATTCATATTTTCATTAGCCTCCCTCACATGAACAACAAAATACTTATTTGTTTCATCGCAATTTAAAATACTGATAGGGGAGTTTATATGGCCTTTAATTAGGAATGCATTTATAAAGCTATTCCTAATTATTCCTGTTATTTTCTTCTAAATACGAGAATGTATTGAGTCTGCTTCATGTATCAATTAAAATCGGCTGTTCCTTTGTGCAAATGTAAACTATGGCCGGGGTTTGAAAATTATAACAACATAACTGCAATAAACTATTCGACATGGATTAAAAGTTTTACACATTTGTAACAGTTAAATAGATGTGCTGTTCTAGTTTCTTATCTAATAACAGATTTGTATTTAAGACAAGATTAAGGTAAATGGTGTTGTTATTGTAAAACTGCTCACTAGGTATTACCCTTTAGATGTTCACAAACTAAAGTTCTCCAGTTTTATAAAGAATACTCAGAGATAAAGCCATATAGTATGTGTGTCTCCTTTCAAATATTTCATATAATTAATAATGCATGTTGCATGGTGTGGCCCATGTGTTGCCTGCATGTTCCAGCATTGAATGAGTTCCTGTATCTGAGACTAAAAGACCAATATCGCCCTCTAGCGACCACATTACTTTCCCAATGTAGCCTAATGCTCTGCAGAGGTAAACAAATTGTATAGTCCTTCCAAATGCAGAGTTCTTGCATTGGTTTGACTACTGCAGATCCAAATTGTATCATTCATTTATTAATACAAATTAAGTCATTATCCAAAATTATGATATCGTTTCAGTTTCCTTTAGTGCAGACAGTGTGAGTTAAAATAAGGACACATCTCTGGTTTTACATTTCAATAATACAATAAACCCACAATAAGGCTTAACTCCATCTGACATCAGTCAATGTGAAGGTTTTTTTTCCCCATCGGTGGGAAGTGCAGTTGGTGAATAAACGTGACCATTACGGTGGGGGTGATTTCCTCTAAAACAATTCATCGACCAGACACCCCGTGGAAAAGTGTCTACATTCTGTTTGTCAGCAACAGACGCAAACGCCCGAGATAAAGAAGATTTCAAAGGAGAATGTAATTACTGGCCAGGACCATAAAGTCATTTAGGCCAGACGTCTAGCCATTTCTATAGCTTTATTGGACCACGTTTCTTCCTGCTTTAAAGTAATTATTCGTACAAGTTGGACAATAAATTGGAAATCCGCCGCAACACCTCTCCCAATCGTAAACACTTTTGTTCTTTTAAGTTTCAATTCCACTGTGTGGAAAATGAAGTGAAATCCAACAAAGTAGCCTAAAGACAGATTTGAATGGGATATAAGAGTAGCCTACGTGTATTTGCCGATTTGTTAGCTGCAAATAAGAAAATTGTCAAATCTGTCAAACACTAACTATTTCGTTAAATTGTGTGTTTCATGCTCAAAGGATGCAGCTGTAATTCATGCTGCATAGTCTTACTGAAAGCAAGGCTTCAGCGGATATGTTTGACCTTTAATTTCCAATCTATAATAAGCCGATGGTAAAATCGTGCTGAAAAATATGTAAAATGCATTTAAGGAAAACAGGTGATGCATTGATGTTGAAGAGTAAAATGACTAATTGATTTGTGTAAAATAAAAAACGCACGTCTATATTTTCTTTCTCACATAATTTATGGGCCACAATTTAAAAACAAAAGCCCTTGTGAAAATGTATCAATGCACGTTTTACTGATGAGATATATCCGTGTGTGTGTGTGTGTGTGTGTGTGTGTGTGTGTGTGTGTGTGTGTGTGTGTGTGTGTATGTGTGTGTGTGTGTGTGTGGGTTTGTGTGTGTACAGACCAGAAACAGCAGTCAAAGCAGTTCAACTGTGAAAATGTTTTATATACAACTCCAAATTCTTAACAAAAGCAATAGGCTATACATAGTTTCCTAAATCTTACAAACTGCTTGCGGTTGTGTGTAAAACAGAAAATATCACAAGAAACGATGAAGGGTACTCTGAATCTCACCAAAACTCTCCTGCACATGAGATTGTTTTGTATATTTGGCCAACACCTTAGGACACGAACACGCAATATTACACTACACCTAGAGGATCTACAAATGAAATGGCTACCGGGGATCCTAACCAAAATGAATATAATTGTTCAGATGGCTTCCTTGGTACAAATGTGTCAAATGGCTGTGATTTTAGAGCAGATCCTTGCCGTTCCTCTCTCTGTTCATCTTCTTCATTTTCATCCTCCTGTTCTGGAACCAGATCTTCACTTGTCTCTCGGTTAAAGTCAGAATGCGGGCCACTTCAAAGCGTCGGTCTCTTGTCAAATACATGTTGAACAGGAACTCTTTCTCCAGCTCTAAAGTCTGATATTTTGTATACGGGCATCGCTTCTTTCTCGTGGAGCGTGCGTGAATCCAGTTTACTGAAGGGTTGCCTGAAAAACAGATATAAATGAAGTAAGGACACATGTTATGAGGATGTTTTTATTTATTTAAAAGTGTATTAAATTGTCCTTAAATTATGATTCTGGGACCCATAAGCTCACTGGTGTGTTTGCAGGAAAGCAAAAGCAAAATGAGAAATCGTTGAATGTGATAGATAATGCGTAAAGATGAGTGTTCCCATTACATGTTTTCTTGTTTTTACCAGAATACCAAAATAACATAATAGAGAAAACAACATATATTTATACTTATATATCCCTAACGTCTATAGCTCATGAACAATCTAAAATAAAGGAGCAATGTTGCTGTTTAGGGCGTCCTATGACATGACAAACTTTAGGATCCCCTGCAATAACCCGAGCAGGGCGGGTTTTCTCCCTTTCGGAGCCGAGGTATAGTACGAGACACTTTTATAGGTTAGTAAAACCTCCAGTTGTACACACCCAGCTCATACAGTTCTTATGGTTGTAAATCAGGATTAGCTTTTTGGTTGACTTACTTTGGTCAAGTTGCTGTTGTTTCTCTTCTTTGGGCTCGCTGTGGCTCGAAAGCTCACTTCCACTTTGCTCTTTGGTCGCTTTTTCTGGACACTCCGATACTCCACACGCGAAATCCCCGCCGACCGGCCGAGCCTCTGCCTCTAAAGAGTCGCTCTCCGTAGCTTTCGGTGGTAAGACCTCCGGCTTTGTCCCGTACGGTCGACTGCTGGGGTGAAATCCGCTGAACGAAACGTGGTTGGAGATGGGGTCCATCCAGGAGCGGACGCCGACATATCTACCGTCCGAAGCGGGCAGATGGGACTGGTGGTGGTGGTGATGGTGTACGTACGGATGATAAATCCCCTGCGGGTGAACCGAGGACCAAGACGACGAAAAAACCGCGGACTTTGGCGCAAAATTGCATGAGGAGAAGTCTGCGTTGTCCCCGGCACCTGGCGGCCTCGGGGTCACGGTGTGCGGAGCTTGAAGAAAACGAGCACCGTACACATCCTCCGGTTCCTGCCCCATGATAGCGTCCACATAGCAGTTACTGAGAGTGCCACTGGAAGACATTTTTTGATCTCTTCCTACTCATATAATAAGGGTTGCACTGTTACGGGAAGCTTCCCTCTATGAACAATCATAGTATTTTTTGCTGGCCTGCATCTACAGGGATTGGTTACATGGATCACGTGGTCATATTTACCAATACAGCGAGTAAATCAATCCTGCCTTGCTCTCTTTTTTTTCCTCGTCAGGTTTAATTTAGCTTTTCATTTCACAAATGATAAAAAAGGCCCCATCATATATGACTGGAGGGAGAGTGCAATCGCTCAAATGAATTCAAATGATTATGTTTTCTATTTTTTTCATTTTCGGGTGGTGCAACAATGCAAGCAGGTCAGAAAAATGAATAAGACCCATTCCCCCCCACAGTCAAACACCCCGTGTCTTAATGTTATAGGAAACTCTTCTAATATCGTCCTGATACCCTCAATGCTAGTAAAATTCTTTATAGACTTACGGAGTCCTCGTAAAATAGATGTAATAACATGCTGTAAAATAACTTCGCCATTTCCGCTCACAATGCAGTGAATCCTTTGTTAATAATAGTCTAGAAAACCTATTTTCAGGGTAGTTTTAATTTTTAAAAGCTAAGCCGGAAACGCTAGTTGTGAAAAGTTGTATTCATTCAAAGGAGGGCAATAATGTCTTTATGCATCAATAAATGTTTTATGAGGTGCGTGTGATTATACATGCCGTCAATAAAAAAAGAAAAGACTAGGAGAAGCTTAGTCCATCTGTATGTTGCTATATGGAAGGTGTAATTCAACTCTAATATACATATAGTTATTTTTGAGCATAAATACACATTTTCGCTTGTTTTGAAACATTCTAAGTTTACCTTCAGTCCAGAAAACTACGCACATTAATAGCCAAGTATAGGACAAATCTGCAGACTGCAATTCAGAGTGACCGTTTAATCTCAGATCATCTGAACATATAAAGTTATTCCTCACCATGAGAATAATAATAGCTACGTGGCTACGGAGGCCTGTGTCGCTCGGATGGAAGGAAATGCTGAGGCTGTGAATTTGTGCTTGAACATAACTTAGTCCGCCTGATAGTTTCATATAGACTGTTAGTTTAGCAACAAACAGGCCTGCTGGAAATTAAAACACAATTTGTATTTCATATCACAGCCTCCGACTATATTTGTCCATGTTGCTGCACTCTTCGTACGCAAAAGCCGAGACATTTCGATATGTTTTTTTATTTATTTTTAATACGTTTGATTTAACAAAGATCAGTCTTACATTTTCTCTTTAAGGAGATTAAATAAGAATTTGCTAAATCCTGTGCAAAACACATGCATTTAAATGCTAGCCCACTAACTAAACCTTGTTTAGTTTAAAAACCAAACAATGTTTAGTTAGTACTACTAGCATTTCAATACGCTACAAGCTCAAGATGTAGGCTATACAATTGAGATATAATTTAGTGAAATTAGAGTTTAATTGTACACATATAGACAGCATTTACGCACAGAAGTATACTGCGCATTAGGAACATTTTAGAACACCATTTATTTTCGTGCTACAAAGTGTAAAAGGCTCCTTTAGAACATCTATTTTATTTTCCTCCTCTTCATAACCGTTTTAAGCAAACTAATGTCTGCGTCAATGCAAATACCGCAGATTCTGGCGGTGGCATAGCAGTCACTAATAAGATGATGTCAGATGAGATACTTTGGTATAGCACAAACAAAAACAAAACAAGATTATTTGACAATTTATTGCAAGATACATTCCACAAACATGCAACAATTTCACAGATTAACATTGTATTCCGCCATAGAAACATTTCACTGTTGAGCAAATGGCTTGCATTTACTGCAAAACAAATGTTGCACTATACAAGACAATAAAATGTGCTTTCATGACTGGAAAGGAGGAAATATTTTACAAACAGCTCGTCATCGCGATACATTAAATGTCCAGGTCTACTGGCTACAAAGAAGAAATCTACTTCAATAATTTAAGACTTAGAAGTGTAACCCTGTGATAAAATAAAGCAAATACACGACACCACAGAAAGTACTCAAATTGGCTAAGGGCCTATATTCACAGTTTCGTTGAAATTGAGGATAAACGTCCAATGCAACTAAAGCATCAAACTGAATATGAGAGAACATGACACACAGCTAACCACAGTTACTTGCAGGCTCACGAAAAGGTGAGATTTGAGGTCAGTTCACGGATGCGGTTTTCTCTGTTCATTTTCTTCAGCTTCATCCTGCGGTTCTGAAACCAGATCTTGACCTGCCTGTCGGTCAGGTTGACGCCCCTGCTGATCTCTAGGCGGCGCTCTCGGGTCAGATACATGTTGAAGAGAAACTCCTTCTCCAACTCCAAGGTCTGGTGCTTTGTGTAGGGACATCTTTTCTTTCTTCCACTTTTTGCAGTCAACCAGTTGCTTGTTGGAGGGGCACTCTTGCAATCTGTAGAGATTGAAAACTAGTTAGTGGTTTATTTTGAACAAAGTCTCACCTGCTCATTTTGATTTGACCTCTGGGAAATAACACACAATATACATGTTTTCCCAGAAAAAGAGAATCAAATCAAATTTCTTTCCAATTGAAATGGAAATTAAATTATCACTTTTGATTGTGATCAAACCACACTGACCTCATCTTTATAAAGCTTTAAACATGTGCAGACCATCTGTTTAATTACATTAATGCTTCAAATGCATTAACACTTTATATCATTGTTACAATCATCCATTTTAAAGATAATATCTAACAGTGTTATGGTTATCTTCTAACTAAAGTCACAGACTCATCTATCTAGAATTACACAGATGCAAATGCACCAATTGTAGTTTCCACGAGTAAAGACATTTTGCAATAATGCAAACATTTAAACTATTCTTAGATTCTTTTTTTTACTTTTAAATCAGTGCAACATGCAGAACATAAAGCAATACAATGGGAAAACGTTTTTTTTAAGTGCACATTATAATTTCAATAGGAGGAAAGACTGACACACAGTCTGCATGCTGCATGGTAAAACCATTCTCTGTTGCCCATTACTGCAACCTGAGAAAGACTCTCATTAAACATTACGACTTTAGGGTTGTTTGTGTTTTATACTTGGTTTTATGATGCTGAAGCCTTCACTGCAGCGCCACAAGATAAAAGCTTTACTGTAGCCAACCCACCTTTCCCTTCTTTTAGCAGCTCAGGGCTGGACACTGGGGCTTCCATGGAGCAGTTTTTCTCCCCGGAGCTGGACCTTGGATCCGGGCTGTCTGCGGGGACCGGGGTCCTTGAGGTCTCGGGGTTTTGCGGTACACCCTCACTTTTCTTTTTCTCCTCTGCAAAATTTGAAGGCGCCGAGGAGGACTGCGGTTTCGGGGTGACCCGGCTGAGCTGCACCAGTGTTGGGTTTGGACTCGGCGGCTCATGGCAGTAGTTTTCCGGATGTTTCCCATTCGCATAACTTTGGCTCAGTCTGAAATAGCCCGGCACCGGGATCTCGGGACCATCGACAGGACAAGACTGGGAAATAACGTTGGAATATGCAGGGACCTCTGTCGAGCTGACTTTTTGCTCTCTCTTTTCCGAGTACATGCAGCAGTTACTCTCTTCCTTTATGCTCTGTGAAAATGTGCAGTTTGACATCTGAGTGGACGGCTCTAATCTGCAGGGTCTGTTCGGATCAGTCCAGTTATCTATTTGAGGTATGTACGAGTGGACATTCATGCCCATATTGTGGTGGTTGACTTCCCCTCTTTTGCCGAAAGACGGCAGGAGTCCACAGGTTTGCATTCCGTAAGTTCCCATTTCTGAGCCAGACGGCATGTACATGTTGCTGCTGGAGTAAAAGCTGTCCGACCTGCAAGCACCTAATAAAGAGTCCACTAGAAAGGTGTTTGCCGCAGGAGAGCTACTGGGAAAGGACATTTTGGGGGGTTAAGTTCTTAAGAGGAGAGAGATGTCCTTTGTAAGATGACATATCTAGGAAAAACAATCTCCGTGTAAGTCAGGATGCCTCCCGACCACATGACAAGCCCACCAATGAGATTTGAAAATGGCCTTGAGACGCAGCCTCCTCTCCCTGCACACACGCTCTGCTGCAGATCAGACATGGTCAACAGCGACCCCTACTACACGTACTTGAAATTGGTTTGCAGACTTAACAGTGGCAGTTCAACCAAAACTGAAACAATCACATCTTTTAAAAATGCAATTTGCGATCAGAAAATAGTCCACTTTCATGTAAATGTTTCGTGTGCAATATATATATGAAATGTTTTCAATGAGATAAATACTTGAAAAGGATATATGCTTCTTTGTGGTAGAGCCAGAGGGAAATGAATGCATGTGTACGTGTAAAATGCTGCCTATATGTCGCATAGAAGAGTTTTTAAAAAATAAATAATATAACCATTTCTAATTGAATGCCTTCTTTATTCAAACCATACACACCAACAACACAGTCCACATTAACCGTGTATGAAAAACACATGTTTTACTGTCTGAATTATAATAATAATAGATACAAAAATAAAGATTGCAATTTGATAATAACACTGTTTGCTCTGTCATTCCTTCATTCTTTCAGGCTTTGGGGTTGTTCACACATTCACTTTCCTGATTAATTTATCTGATTAACATGACTATTCGATTTAATGACAAAGACCATTGCATTTATTGCAGCAAATCAGCAGAAATTAAGGTACAATGATATGCCATTCCCTTATTAGAATTAATTAACTAAAATAGCTCTTTTTGCATCATCATATCTTTGCAATGCGGTACCTTTCCTAAATTCCCCTTAAAACGAATAGAAAACTGTCCTTTGTTGTTTACACAGATATTTAGCTAAATGTCTGTGTTTGCATTTTTTTTTTTACAGGTATTTCCGATGTTGAAAATAAAACCTGGTGGTGCAGTCTGGGGATTATTTAGCTCAGGGGTCCATTGTGTGTGTCTTAAAGCAAGGCACATTTGTGCAAGACAAACATAGTGTCTGGTAAACTAAAGGAAAAAATAAAACCACTTGGTACTCGAAAATATCCACCGACCGAGAATCTGAAGTCAGGCCAAAATTATTGCAACGATCCTATACAGGTCTGTATAAAACATAGTAAATATGAAATAATTATATCTTTGGTAATTATGCAACAAGTTTCTAATCATACAACTTTTTTTGAAAGGCTATTTATATCCATAAATCCATATATGCAACTCATCTCGAAATCACAGGATTGACAAACAAAAAAGGCTCGTTAACCCAAATTTAATCACAGAGGGTAAAAAATACATTTTTTTGTAATACCACGTTGGTTATTTTACAGGAAGAAGAAATAACATTTCACTGAGACATCTGACAACACAGACACCATTTCTGTTCTAACAATGAAAATTGATGAAAGATAATATTGAGCTATTTTGCATATCATGAAACGCATTGAAATAAAAATAAACTTCAATAGGGGAGTATATTCTTCAGGTATAATCAACAATTAATACACACAATGTACACAAGTACCGTAAAACTGGAAAAACTAATTTGACGTCGTGTCATATATAGGCTAATAATAATAATAATAATAATAATAATAATAATACTGTTTTAAAGCAAATACAAGGAGATTTGCTTATTTTACAAACACAAAGCACAAGGGCATAGCCATTAACAAACATGGGCCTTAGGGTGCTCAAAAAAGGGAAAGCGATATTGTTGCAGAATCAGACAAAACTTCTGTCTGTTTTTTGATAAACTGTTTCTCTTAACATTTGAAATGCAAAAAGCTAGAGGCATATAAACGATCGTATAATGACAAAGCTGCAACTTTTAAATAAATTCAAAGCACGTCAATAATTCCCTACAATCCGGAGTCTGTAGAGATATATTTCAGGGGCCCATAAGGGTTTTCGGCCTTCAGCTAAACGTCGAAATCTGTATTTTTAAGGTTCTGATGACAAACACTATTAGTAATATATTGATTTTGTTAGTCTTTTAAAACACTTGAACGTGACTTGAAAATGTGTTGCCGCCTGGAAGACAAGGGAGCTGCTGAAGCTAAACTGTATTGAAATAAATCATGTGTATTAAGATTACCTGTGTTTGTAGTTTCTTAAGAAAAACTAGTTTGTTGGGTTTAATGGTTTGATCTAAAAAGAAAACATTTAGGTGATTTTGGACTTTTACATTTTTGTTTATATATAGTCTGTTGAAGACAATAAAAATACAAACCACTTGATGCAGTTGTTATTCAAATGAAAATGTAAGCAGAACCTGTGTTTAACGGATTATCCACCCGCTATTTATGCAAGGTAGATTTGACATTTGTCTGAAATCTGCATTTAAATCTGCAGTTTAAACTGCAAGCCTGCCCTCATGTGGTCACACCGAGCAGCGAAATGAAACACCCTACACAGTTTGTAACGTCATTTCACTGTTGGACATAAAGACAACCCAATTAAACGCTTAATGAACTCTCAGTTTTGAATAGCTTTTTGGGAAATAAAAGGTAGATGTGATGCGCACAAATAAAATAGACATTCATCTCCAAACTTTTTTTTTTTCATAAAGAACAGTGAAACAAGGGGTGTAATTGTTGCTGCCTAGAGCTTAATTGAAGATAATCACATGAATGATCAATAAAGCGACTGTTTGTGAGGGATGAATGCGTTTATTTATTGTTGTCCCCCTGACTACAAAAATAATAGAGTTATAAACTACTGAGGTAAAGCAATTTACTCAGCCTGGGGTCCCTGCAAACTGTATCTTAACAAAGATGGAAACGTTTCGCCTGCATTAATTCAAGATTGGAAAAGCGCTATTTTTGCCAAAAATGTGGAATAGTCCTCCTTTTCCAGCTTATTTGTTGACCTAAATAGTGTATAAAGTAAAAAAAAAAATTACTTATCCTTTCTTACGGCGGTCCTTGTTAGAATATCCTCCATTGTATCCCAGCTAACAACTAGCATTACAAGTGCCAAAAAGAGTAAACAGGAGCTAAATGTGGACTGGATGCGCAAAAAACACTTGAATTCTCCAAACATTTGTAGCCTGTATTGAAATTACTTAGAGAAAGGAAAGAGCATCAGATCTCTTGTGGTCTGGGGGTTGGGACTCCAAAGTCCAATAGCCCCCTATAGACATTTACAGCTGCGTTTATTATACTGTCTAGACGGTTCAAGGTTTAGTAAACAATCCAGTGAAAGCAGAGGAAATAACGGGACTATCAGCACCAAATGTACCCATTGATGAATCGTTGGGAAAAAAATCCCCTTTTGTGTTATTTTTGTTGGTTAAGTTCATGTGGCAAGTTGCGTGACTATGGTATACGATGTGTCCTGTCTAATTTATTTCACACCACAACGTGCATTGCATGCGTCTTTTAAATGAACATTATACAAATTAGCCTAATTTGATATAAATAATTTCAAAGCACACCTTGCGCTTTTCTGGAATATTTGACACGAAAATATATGAACACAAATAAATAAATGCTGAAATTGTTTGTAAAATAAAATGGCATCTTGACGAATTTCCAAATGCAAGATTTATGTAGGATACACTTTTTAAACAGGATGATGAGGGTTGAAATATGCAGGGAGGACCAGTCTTTAAGACGTGTGTGTATAGCTCCTGCCATGTGTGTGTGTGTGTGTGTGTGTGTGTGTGTGTGTGTGTGTGTGTGTGTGTGTGTGTGTGTGTGTGTGTGTGTGTGTGTGTGTGTGTGTGTGTGTGTGTGTGTGTGTGTGTGTGTGTGTGTGTGTGTGTGTGTGTGTGTGTGTGTGTGTGTGTGTGTGTGTGTGTGTGTGTGTGTGTGTGTGTGTGTGTGTGTGTGTGTGTGTGTGTGTGTGTGTGTGTGTGTGTGTCAGGTATCAGAATAAGGGATTCCCAGTAAAATACTGTAGGCGGTCGCGATTGAGCTTTTTCTCTTTCATTCTTCTGTTCTGAAACCAAATCTTCACCTGCCGATCGGACAGGTTTAACATCCTGGACAGCTGGAGCCGCTTCTCTTTGTTAATGTACACGTTGAAGAAAAACTCTCGTTCAAGTTCTCGGAGCTGGTATTTGGTGTAAGGACACCTCTTCTTTCTGGACTTGGTTGATGAACCTGCACAAGAAAAAATAAAACGTATAGAACATTTTTAATATCATATACTAAAATTCAGACTATAGCCTAATGCATATAACAGGTTGACGGATACATTTATTTATTTAATTACATATGTCTGCTCAAAGGCCCTCTCTGCAACACACGCACACAATGAGACAAACAACGGATTTTGCATTATAATATAACTGTTACTGCACTGATGTTTATGCATGGCGTTCACTGAAAGTGTTATACCAGCACGACATTGCCTATAACACGATGAAATAAACTTTAATACAACGATTTTATTGGATTCCCTATCAATACAAATCACATCTAGCAACACAGTCCGGTTATAAGACACAGGGCAATCTTTAAAGTATGGTTAACTTAACGGTTTCCCATTGTAAATACCTTTACAACCGTAAACTAAATCTTATAGGGATATAAAACCTTGTGCATGCTTATAAAGAGTCACATAACTATGCACGGTCACGGAGGAGGACACAGTGCAGTCCAGACGCTCTATTGTCTAACTTGTACACCTTATGTCCCAGACAAAGAGAAAAACACTTACTCTGTTGGTTGTGCTTGTCGCCGCAGTTGGAGGATGAGTCCTCGTCAGCGCTTTGCTCAGCTTTGTCCTGCTCCAGTTTGGTTAGATCCTGATTGTTATTCGCAGCATCTTCAGCAGCAGCAGCAGCAGCAGCAGCAGAGTCTGTCTTTTGTCCAGGCAGCTCCGCGTTGGGCTTGTCCGTTTTAGCAGTTTCCAAAAACTGGTCGAAGACCTGGGGGAGAACCCCGGTACGGCCGACACCGTTGAAGAAATTACACGGCGAGCTGGTGCCCCCGTGGTGGCCGTACAAGGAGTCGTTTTTTGAAAATCACATCCGCCCTGCTGCCCGAGGACTGGATCAAGTCCCGGTGCATTATCTCGTCTGTCGAGTAGTAAGACGCGTAATTGCCCCTGTAGTGCCATTTGCTCGGATGGTCCAGTCCATAATCCCTGAAAGCGACTTCTCGGACAGGTTGGATTTGGGCTATGTTGGAAGAATAAGGGAAATTTATCTGACACGAAGTAGTCTGCGGTAAAAAGGAGGAGACTGATGTAAAATCGGGCGACGAAACATAATAAGTACAGCTCGGTAAATACATATTTGACGCACAGCTGCGATCATCGTATTCCGTCATATCTCTTCTTCCCCCCTTTCCTCTTTGCAACAGAGGAGAGGAATTGGCAGCTTGACTGTGTTAAACTTTGTTCATCTACAGCACCACAGGCGCCTGGTTAGACCCCGCCAGGGAGAAGAAATCGGAAACGCAGGCAGGCCTGCAATACATCTTGATCGATTCTTGAGGTAATTGTGTCATGTGATCCGGCCAAGAAATTACCATACATCAATATCAGTCATTAAAAACTGTCCGGAGAAACTCATGTGAGCGCATGCGAGAGCCTCCATTGGCTCCCTGGCTGCAGAGGAAACTCCTCTCCAGCCTTCTTGCCCTATAGCTCACGGAAAAAGAAATGTGTGAACCACCACTGGAATACTTAATTGAAAGCTTTACAGCATCGTCGTCATTCTTTAATGACAGTCGCATGCGTTCAATCGGCAATAGATTTCAGCAATTTGGAATAGGCACCGCTGTTTGTTGCAACAGTTAGGTTGGAAACATTGAAATGGACCCCCCTCCCCCTATTTAAATCAAAGCTTGAGGAAAATAGTAGGCTACTAAGCCTACCGTGCATGCCCTTCGTTGCAAAATCAAGTATGATTCACAAGCGACTGATTAAGTCTGTTTTATGCAAATACATTGTAGGGTTCATCGAGTATAATCACGGTGTACCATGACGGTTAGAATACATTTAAATACACAACATGAGACTCACAAATACGTGTAAACACATCTCTGGGCCTGCAGCAGGGTGCAAAAAGGCTCAGGCGCCACAAAAGAAATAACAAGACCACAAAATGATTATTGCAACGTGTTGTAGTACTGACACATTCTAGTATAAATTACAGCCTACTGCACAGCATGTTGAGCCCATGTGTGCCTAAACTCTGAATTATCTATGTGTAAATATAAATGTAAAAAAATGTCTTGCTTGCTTGTTAATTTGTTTCACCTCAATAATAAATGAAGATTAGCGCTCGTGAAAAAAAGGCAAATAAAACAGCTCGATGCTTTTACAAAATGCAGGGATGTTGAATGTGGATGCCACAAAAACATAAGCTATAAGTCAACCGTATAAGCATGAATCACTAAGCACATTAAGCATGGCCAAGTCCACAACAACTGCCTTTGACCGTCTGTGGTCTAGGTGATGTCCACAGAGTATTCAGAGACAAGTCTCTGCACCCAGATCCTTTTATTACACGAAGGCAGCCATGTCAGCAGAGTTTAGGGCCCTCTTCTCGGCGGAGAAAACGGAGTTAAAACACTGGTGAAAGGATACACATATCTACCAGGCTGCAGCAATAGTCAGGGTATCCTCTGTGAGTATGATCTTTATTTTTCATACTGTATTGTATCACTCGTAAGGCAGAAAAAACGTTTAAATAAGTCCTTGTCCAGTGTTTGCAGGCCTGATGCTTGACATTGAGCACAACAAAATAATATAACTTGTCGACCTATATGTGGAACTGCAGCTAAAATCTGAATGGGAGCATTGTATTCAGAGGACAAGCAGATTCTTCAATGCTTAAAGCCTGAAGGTCACACGCAATGTGAAAGTAGCTTAAAGGCGGCTGGGTTTATTGTTATTGGGGGTAAAATCGGCTCTGTGGTCGCCTTTCCAACCTTTATCGCACTTCACGTGAAAACCCCTCAGGCAGTTTACAACACGCAAAATGAAGTTAACATTCAAGTCTTAAAATAGAGGGAAAATGTGACATTTCTGAAATAATCCGACGCACAGTTTAAACACAACTAAAACAAATCTCATCGCAGCAGCACTCAGCATTGGAGTGTTTACATTTTTGTATTAAAGTGTTAACTTATTATTTAGGCGTTAACTTTTTTAACCCCCAAAGTGAATGCGACCTGTTGATTATCACTTAAGTGACTGTTTCTTTTAGGTTGTGTTTTTAAAAAAAAATGTGTTATCTCCTTTTGTGCTAAAGACTTTTTTTGTAATTATTACAATAATTATTTGTATCGTTATCTCTCCTCGATCATTTGTGCACTGTTGTTCTAAAATATTGGGAAATGTTTTAGGTTCTGAGCATAACGAGCAATCATAAATGTGGTTAGCAAAACAAATTATTCACAGATTCTCTTCAAAAATTAACATTTTAAATGACAGATGTTACAAATAAGAGTTTTAAGAGAGCAAACATCACTGCAACTTTAATGGTCGAACTGCTTGGCCCGTTTGTGCGTAACAGCAACAACAACTAACTAATAATCTATGCACCTTATTTTTGTTATGAAGCACCAAAACCTTTATATACATATATTTTTTTCAAACCCAGTCAAAACACTAAACCTTAATAATATAAAACAGTCCTGGCAGAATAACTGCATTCACGTATCAAACTAAAAGTGAAGTCGTTTTTATTCAAACAAGCAAAACTATTTTTAAAAGAAAAAAGGCCAACTCACATGACTGAATAACCAAGCCATGTCTCTGTTTTACCCTAAAAAGGCTACAACACATTTACCCAATATAAATGAGAAGCTACTTCTTAATGTCGTTATTTACTTGAAATGATTTCAGAATCAGAAACAGGTTTATTGCCAAGTTCACATACGAGCCTTGGTGTAAGTGATGCAAACCTAGTTAAAGAAGATACAGTGTAAAAAAAACGACCAAAGAAATCAAACTAGTATTAACAACGATTAAAAAGAAAACCTATTATAAAGTTACTGCAGTAAACACTGAATTAACGCACAAAACAAGACATGTGTACCTGTGTAGGTGTTTTGCCAATATTGTGGAAAAAGGCACAGCCTAAACAGCTAAATAATTTAGGCTACTAACTTGACCTTAACTTTGTTTGGGCTCCCTCATATCTTAAGCGATGATGCTGTCTGCGTTTGGCAGTAAAGCAATAAAACAAATACTGAAGAGAAATGCTGCATTTTGAATGCATAGAAAACTCAGTACAGCCTTTCAAAATATACTGAGCAATAAACACTAATAGTCAGTGAAGCTTGTGGGAACGATTTTAAACTGAGAAAAATACACAAACCTCGAGTTGGGACAACAAAACCGAACCATACGACTATAAGAGTGTAGATTCAGTGCGAATTACCATAGTTAAATAATATTAAGATTGCGCAAATATAAATGACAGTTGGTCACAATAATTCCACAAAAATAAAATACAAAAGTGGTGGTAAAGAGACAGACAGTTGTTGATTGAATAACCATCTTTTCGCGTTTCTTTAGCAAATTAAATGTGACTCTGCCTCTCGTGAACCTTTATTATGACTGCAGTGGTGTGTTCATGTTGCAGTGATGCGGTGATGATGACGTGACAATGATGTAATGGGAGGGCCCATTCATAGATTCACTCTCATGTAACGTTTCACGTACACATGCCTCGGTAATGGTGGTT